ACTTGAAGTTAACCTATTTTTTTTATATATATTTGAAACGAAGTTTCAGCCATCAAAAAATTTTACACCTTAAGATTTGGTTTCGATAATTACATTTTATCTAACTTTAAATAATATCACTCTTTATTATTATTGGTTTTATAAAAAGGTGGTCCAAAGAGCTTGATGATCCCTACATTACGAAAAGGCTGTACATGTGTTTGGTTAGACCCATACTCGAGTATGCCTCAGTTGTGTGGTCTCCCACATATAGGTGCTACGTAGATTCAATTGAATCTGTTCAAAAGCATTTCTTGCTGTTTGCCCTTAGAAATTTGGGTTGTGATCCGATTGCCTCCCTTCCTCCGTATGAAAATAGGTTGCTTCTGCTGTCCCTACCGTCTCTGGAGAAACGTAGATTTGTTCTTGGCGTTTCCTTTCTAATTAAAGTAATAATTCTTTCTCTGTTGAATCGCAATCACATCAGCTTCAAGGTGATTTGGATAATTTTGTCGCATGGTGCTCTTTGCATCTCCTGAAACTATATCTGAGTAAATGTAAGAAGCTTTCATTCTCAAGAATAAAGTCATTCATTACTTAGTATTTTATTGGTGCGCATAAGTTGGAGGACGTCGATTCGATTACAGATTTAGGCGTTCTATTTGACCATAGGTTACGTTTTAACTTGCACATTGAGCTCTCGATTAGCAAAGCTAGGTCCGCGCTTGGTTTTATAAAAAGTTGCTCCAAAGAGCTTGATGATCCCTATATTACGAAAAGGCTGTACATGTGTTTGGTTAGACCCATACTCGACTATGCCTCAGTTGTGTGGTCTCCTTCATATAGGTGCTACGTAGATTCAACTGAATCAGTTCAAAAGCAATTCTTGCTGTTTGCCCTTAGAAATTTGGGTTGGGATCCGATTGCCTCTCTTCCTCCGTATGAAAATAGGTTGCTTCTGCTGTCCCTACCGTCTCTGGAGAAACGTAGATTTGTTCTTGGCGTTTCCTTTCTAATTAAAGTAATAAATGGTGCTATTGACTCGCCTTCATTACTTGGTGAAATAAGCTTTAATGTCCCTAACCGCTTCTCTAGGCACTTTATCTTGGTTAAGCTTAATCAGTGTAAATTTAATTATGAGCTGTTCAATCCGCTCAGAGTCGTTTGCAAGAACCTAAATGACGTCTACCACTTATTCTCGTTATCGGATTCTTTAAAGTCCATTAAAGCAACATTGCTTAATACGCGCGATTAACCTATGTCGTATTTAAACTAGCTTTTATCCTTAAAAAGTCTTTACGTTTCGAAAATGAATTATTGTCAATTTATTATCGGTTGCCAGGCTTGTGCATGTTTGCGATGGCTTAGGGGTTCATTTGCAATTTGGTCCTGTATCGGTTGTAAGTGTGCTCCTATGCTGATAGTGTACATGCTTTTTTTTCTTTTTTCTTTTTTTTTGCTTCTTATTTGTCTTATTATGCTTATACTCAATTTTATTGTTAATTAATATAAGTTTTGCATTAAGAATCAATTGAACTCGACTGTTATTTGTTTAGTTGAGTTTCTAGTATAAGTGGAATAAATAAAATATATAAATAAAAAATTATATCCCAGTCTAAGTAAATAAGCGAAAAGTTTCGTGTATCACCATTTCGATACAGCGCGTTATGAATTAGTCGCCTTATACGACGGGCGCCTGTATATAAGTCACGTGTTAAACAATTTCCGGGGGGATACTAACAATTGTTAATACATTTTAAGGGATATCGAAAGGCATTAAAACAAAATCATTGTTATCTCACGGCTGAATTATCTCTCCCATTCTCTCACACATAATCAACCACGCACATGTAAAATTCTAAATTGCTTATACTACACCGTCCGGCCGTTATTCGTATAACGATCTTTCAAAATAAGGCGTAATATGGCAAGTGATCGAAACAGGTGTGCCATCTGAATCATTCTCAATACCGTTTGTTTGTATGCCAAAAGGTGTCAGTGTACCAAATTTCACCAAAATATTTCAAAAATTGTAACCTATAGGCTAAACACAAGAACCCAAAACGGACAGACAAGCTTAGATTGATTCAGAAGAATGTGATTCTGAATCAATAGGCACAATTAAAAAAGAATCTATCTATCTCAAATTCGTACATAGTTACTGCTTGTACGACAAGTGGCATAGTGTATAAAGAAAGCCAGAAGAATTTTTCTTTTCTTCGCAAGATGACAAAGATGAAAGTTTATATTTTAACAAACGAATGCAATTTTAAAAAATGTGTGGGCTCTTTTCGCTTCCAAGTATACACACGTTCATGTTCATGTTATAGAAAAAACCAAAACATAATATTAATCCTACGAATTTTATTTATTAAGACAAACCACTCGCGTTTTGCACCGAAGTAAATTCAATGATCAACAATTTTCCTTATATACTAAAATACAATTATAAGTAATGCTTATGCTGGTAAAAGATTAAAATTACGTTAAATAAAATAAATTCTTATACTTATAATAAAAAACAGAAAATTAAACACATTACAGAATATTCTACATACTTTCAGATGATAGTACGAAAGATTTGGCAATAATTTAAATTAAATGAAAACTTTGCAAATATTTTTTTGTTTAGTAAATTAATTGCAACTTTGGCGTGAGAAGCGGTTAACACAAAAATGTTGCAGTGAATATAAGCAGTAATAACTTACTTGTAAAGTGTATATAAGCGGAATATTTGCGGAAAAGAAATTGTCAAAAAAAAAAGAAAAGTCAAGAGAGTTGAATTGCAACATTCAAACGGGCAAGACCACAGCGACATTTAAAGCGTTGTAGACATAAGTTCCTGTAAATGATTTGTGAATAGATTTCCTAAGATTTGTAAATAAAACGAATATTATATTGAAAAATTCGGTGATGCGAAAGTAATTTCAAAAAAGTTGAGTAAATTACGTAAAAATCACGAAAGTCTGTTTCTGTTATGCTATGTTCAAAATTTTGCAAAATTTTTGGTACGAAATAAATTAGGCTTGATTTTATGGTTAAAGCGGTTTTCTTCATAAAAAATTCTCTTAATAGTACACAAAATGGGCGAGAATCGATGCCAAATCAATAAATGTCGAATAAATAATGTATTTAGTGTATTTAATGCATTATTAATAACTGTTGTTTATTGCATGTTAAGTAATAAGTTTAGCTACAGGCATCAACTAAAAAAGAAATTAACAAATTTGCATACGTTTCTTTGGACACAGAGTTCTTTTTGGATGGAATCGCGAACATTAAGATAACTGAGACTATGGCATTCATTCCTATTCAAATTGTTCGCAAATCCATTTCATTAATTAAAAAATGTCTTCCATGCTCGCATCTTCTGCTCAGGGCGGTTTCACAATGTGTGCAGCATTTAATGGGGATAAGTTCCATACTAATTTTTCTTAATAACATTATTAACTTATTGGCTTTTCTATTTATTAATGGAATTCATTTCGCTTCGTTTGTCAAAACCGATTTTTCTTGACTAAAATGTACTTCACAATCGATTGCATCATGATTTATTTTGTATTTTAAGCCGTCTCTAAAAACCTTTTGTCATGGACGACTTTGATAATAGTGTGAAAGAAACCTTAAGCTTCTCGGCTTTTCAGCGTCAACACCATTACTCTTTATTGCGCCAAAATATATTCGGCAAGAGAAGGCCACTGCCTAAATTTGAATAAAATCTTGGTTTTTGCTATTTTATGCCAAGGTAAGCCCGGCGATGCAAACTCAAAATTGAATTGGTTCTTTATACAAAAATGATGCTACTTCTATACTAATATTTTAGCCTAAGTTTGATTATAATATGCTGATTTCAACAGTTATTGTACACGGGGCGTTTGATGTAATGTCATGCTTTCAATTCAGCATTTCCGCGAGCGTGCCGCTTGCTAGGTTTATATTTCTTTTCTTCATTTTTGTTTTTGTACGCGCACTACGCTAAGCGTACACTACAGTATTATTGCTCGTGCTTGAAAGAAAGACTTTGAAAAGATTGAAGCTCTATCGGACAATGGAACATATTGCACTAAATCAAGGTGAAATGGAAATAAGGACCTTTAAGAAAGGAAATTAATGATATTACATTAGGTTTGGTCCACCTGAGTAGCGAGGAATCTCGACTAGCAAGTCAATGGTCGTGGGTTCGAATCTCAAGTGCTAAAAGCCGATAGCCTTAGACGCTAGTGCTTTAGTCTTAGAATTTATTTCTCTGGCGAAATTAATAATAATAATAATAATAATGCATTAGGTTTATATCAAATCGAGCTAAAATTTTTCAAAATATTGACAGTTGTTCCATTTCCACACACATTTGCATTTAAAAACAAAAGAAAATCAAAACTACCCTTTATTTGGAAGAATTCAAGCATTCAAGCAGTCGCCGGTATACGAGCTGACCTTTACGGATCAGTTTTAAAGAAACACGCTATAGAAACGCAAAAAGAATTACTTATAAGAAAAACCAAATTAAATGTACAACTCAACGTGTTCATTACGCAAGCGTTTTGGATAAGGATATCATTATAAAATAATTGTAAGCAGCCTCAATTAAGCGCAACGACCTGCATCAATTAGTACGGCTGTAACACGCATATGGTATAAAGAGCAAAATGCTTGCTATCCGTAGAAACACTGTGAAAACTTCGATCAACGCAATAGAATAAAAGCAGGAAAGTTAGAATTTGCATATTTCGATAACGATGCGCGTGCTCAAATAAGCGGAAGGTTTTATGTGCGTCTTCAACAACAACAGGATTTCATTTGTATAAAGAGATATATTTTTATAATTTCATATCTATAAATTCAAAAACTTATGCCAATATCATCATACATGCGAAATTTTTGCAAATTTATGTTAATAGCAGTTTTATGAGATTTATAGAAATGCTGAAAGAGACGGCATCTTGTTTAATTTAAGCTAATTGAAAAGTGCGATTAATTTTTTTTTTCAAATTTCATTTTTCAGTTGAACACGTGCGATTGAAGTCGATCTGTCGATTCATTCGCACTTTAAAATTTAAGAGTGAATATCGCTTTGGGCTGTCACAAGAAGATAGGGATGAAAGATCCCAAAGTCGAAATTTTTAGTCGCGCATCAGCAGCTCGCAGACTCACAAGAGAGGGTATCCCGGAAATTCAGGCCGAAGGACACCGAATTTCTCTTTTGGATTTGAAAAGCGAGCAGGAAAATATGTTCTCACAAATCAGAAATACATGCATATGAGTGTCAAGGGAAAATTTCTCGGCCATGCTATGCAAGACGTTACAGCTTTCTGAAATCTATTAGAGCAGAAGAGAGAGAAAGTAAACAGTGGATTAAGCGTCCAACACTTGGTCAAATTAGTTTATTTTATATAGTTTATTTTATATACGATTAGTTAAGTTTAAACACAATTTTTAAGATAATACTTGTAATAAAAGAAAATTAATTCAATTTAAAAGAGATGTCAATTAATATTAATTCTTTTTTTTTGCTAAATTTAAGTAATTAAATTTAAAACATTAGAAGTTTCCTGTGTCATCCAATAACGCCATAATTTGTGACTATATTCTATGACAGGTAATTTAAGCAGTGGAGAGTTTACTTGCCGCAAATGAGAATTGAGAACGAAACTTTAATAATAAACAAAGAGGCACCAGAATGGTTTTCCTGCACTACAACTTTCGAGGACGTGGTCTTCAATTGACCAAAGAGGCGTCATAATCATTTTGCTACATTGAAACTAATTTCTTGATTATTATTTATTTCAAATTCGGATGAGCCATGTTTCAATTCTTTTGGGGGTAGGGTTCATAGAACTGCTGTGACGTCGATCACATCCATTAAAACACGTACATCTTTCCCCGGTTTACACATATTTTTAGACCGTAACAAATTTTTGCATTTTCCAGTAGATTAACAAATTATCACGTCGCAAAGGAATTGAACATTCCCTTAAAAGTTTTCCGCTATTTTTGTGTTAAACCTCCAAGGGTTTTGAAAACCTGTTCTTTTGACATTTCACTGTCAATGCACAAGAAAGAAGATACTCTAAATTACGTGTTGGAAATCTAATAGCTGAAAAAACATAAGTATTGGAGAGTATTTGTTGGAATCTCTTATACGCAGACGGCTCAAAATCTTCCGATCTGCGACCTGCTTCTGCCGTGATAGATGCTACAGGACAGGTTCTTCTCAATCACATATTTCACGAAAGTACTTCAACTTTCACAACCGAAGCCAGAGCTATCCTTCACGCTGCGAACTTTTTCCATTAAAACAAACTCAAAAATACCATTGTTACCAACAGTTTTTCTGCGTTAAAAGCTATACAGAATCCTTCGATTTCGAGATGGAGCACAATCAACCAACTAAGGAATATCATTACAACACCCGGCGAAAAAATTAAAATGTTTTGGGTACCTAGTCATATCGGTTTACTGTAATTATTGATGATGTCAAGGAAAAGTCGGATCTTCAAAGATTCATTGGACGAAAAGTTAAAGAGAAAATTAAAGAAGGAAATCTACAACACCACCACTCTTTTATTAACCCTGAATTAACTCCACCTTTACATCCAAAAAATGTTGAGAAAACCAAGATCCAAATATTTTCGAGAATTCGCCTTGGTCATACTATCGCAACTCACCAATGGATCTTGAAGAAGTCTTCCTCCACAATCTGTAGTTGTGGAGAAACTCTAACTACAAAGCACATTCTCTGCGACTGCCTTAAGTTTTCCTTGGCTAGAAGAATTGCATTTGGAGCGACTAACCCTTTGGACATTTTAAAATCAGCTTCAGAATCGAATATAAATTCAATATATTACTTTATTAATACTACTAAGCTCATTGTCTAATGCACATTTGTTTATATTAGAGCCGATAGCGTGTGCAGCTAGTGCTCAATGTCTTTTTTTTTAGTCTAAGAATTTATTTCATTAGTCTAAAATTATAATAATAATAATAATAAACTGATACTCACGTCACACATACGGGAAGTGTCAATTTGATTCAGAGTCGATTTATATTATAGAGAACCTTCCCTCCGGATGTCGCAATCGTTTTGACAAAATGAATAATAATACCTTGATTTGTTATCAATTCAGTTGTCACGGGAGATTAAAAATCGCTAGATTGGGTATATCGACTAGATTTGTTCTGTTGTTAAACGCGCTGTTATTCACTTCATTTGCTAAAATTTTCGAATTTATTGAAGGAGATAGATTTTTAAGCATTAGCAAGTGTTTTACATCAATTAATTTTTTTTTGGTTACTTAAACTGACGCCACTAGCACCTTCTTTGAAAATATTTACAATGCTTGAAGACAATACCGGAAACAACAATTTATATCAGGCTTAAGACTCTCATGTTATTGTAGCCAGTTCAGAAATATTTCCACAACTTATGTAGTCCATGTAAAAATACAGTGAAGAAAGACAATTAATTGGGTCCTAAGAGGCTCTGCGTATGTCCTACATTATTTTTTACTTATTTGGAAAAACCATAAATTTATTTTTTGTCTCTGGAAAATGAACGATCACGATCCCTTTTGCTTTTTTTGCATTTATTCTTGTTTTTTGCGTTTTTCGACTTCTTCGAGCTCGCTTGTATTCGGCGAGTTACAATCTATTTCGTTATTCCTGCTATGCTGACTTTTTTTTTCAATTTATTAATTTTTTTCTTCTTTTGTTTACTATCATATATCAAGTATTTATTTCAAGATGAACATGAATATGTTTTTAGTGATTTCTCATTTTTAAAGCAATCTTGGCGTGGCAAAAAATGTTGGGAACGGAGTGAGGTCGAGTGAGGCCTTTGGAATCAAGTACGTTTGAAATTAAACAAGAGTTCGTTATCAATTTTAAGAAAAATTACATTAAAACATTACGACAAAAATGTATTGTAAATTTTCACATGGCAGAGTAAGTACGGAACTACACCATCAAGTATTTGCCGATAATTTGAAAATTTATCATTTCACGTTTATGATATTCGTCAATAACAGATAACATTCTCACAAATAAAATTGTAACATATTCTGCTAAAACAATTAAAGCAAACCCCTCTCTTCTATATTCAACATTAAATCCTGATACTAATTCTGATTGTTCTACAGCAAGATCGAAAAGAGCTCGACTAGTTTCCGCTAATAAAACTCTAATTTTATTTTAGATTAAAAAAGCTCTACTCCTCGCTTCAGCAGAGTACCATATTTCTGTAGACCAATAGTAAGTTCGTGTGTCACGGGTCTAGCTCCGCTGGCCGGTAGAGCGGTTTAATTGATGGGGCGTAGTTTTCTGAGCCGCATGACAAGGAAAGATAAAAAAAAACACACACACAAAAAGAGAAAATGTTGCCTGTCGTTCGTCCGTCTAGAGTGAGTATGTCTGTATCCGTCCTATGTACCTCCACGGTTCCCCCACGCGTGTACCCCCCCTACATCGCACTCCTGCTACAGCAGTGGCATGTTCGCCCTTAGTCGCTCATTGTGGCTCACAGGAAACTCGGGACACAAAAAAAAGGAAAGGTAAATACCTGACTACCATGCTTTGTCTCTTCCAAATGACGTCGTACTCCCTTCTGTAGTGCTGACGGCCTCTGTGGTGGTCGCTGTTGATATCTACTGTTCGCTGTTGATGAGATGTGGCGTATATCTGATGATAAAACTTGAGAACACAATTTTATTCGTGGTTATCCCGTGTCAAAATTACAAATCTTCAAACAGCACACATGTAGGTAATTTTTATCTTGAGGCTATGCGTACAAAAATCACCACTTCCATCAATCAAGTGAATCCAACAGGGTTCTTTTCCACCTTTAATTTGAACGAAAGTTTACCATTTTCTAAACGAAGTCATCTGATGTCACAAAAAAACACACTCCCAAGCCTTCAAATGTTCTTCACCGTTTTTATTTTCCTTTTTTTTTTTTGAATGGTTTTTATATAAAAGAAAAATAAACAAAGTTATGAAATTATTTTAATTTATAATTTCGTTTTTTTTTTGCAGTGCCGATATTGGTTAAGTTTTTGTTAATTTTGTTTTTTTATTCTTTCAATTGCTTTCAATTGTTTACATTTTCGTTGCTTCCGATTTCTTCTAGGCTTGTTTATAAAATACAATGTTTGAATCTTTTTTGATAACTATTCGTATGCATGGGTTTTGGGTATGTGAAAAAAATTTATGTCTAGAATTTGACTTTTGCTAGTAAAGTTCTTTTCTTGAATCAATCTTCATATGTACGTATGTGCAATTGCAGACAATGGAAAGATTCCTTTGCTTTACATTGAAATGGAAAAAAACAAGGCGAGTCTCCGTCACATTAAATTGTACTTCTCCAACGTTTTTTTGCTTCTATTTCATTATAATTGCATTATTTGCTCAATGAAGGCAAAGTAAAGAAAATAAACAACACATACTCTTTAATATCACCTTTTTTTTCAGAAAAAACAAAGCAAAATAATCCAAAAAAACTTCTCGTCTCATGTTTAAATTTCTCTAACTTAACTGATGCAGGCAGGTTGACTGCCAATTTTGACTTATATATTAATGTTAATATCTCTTTATAATAATTCTCTTTCTTTTTAAATATTGTAAAATTAACAATTTAATCCTCATGTATATTATTTCGCAAAAGCTATCGTAATAGAAGTATTCTTTATGCAAAATTTTCATAATTTTATGTTATTTACAGAGACATATTTTTGTTTTATTTATTTTTATTTTTTTTTTGCTTTCGTACGCATTTCGTCAATGATATTTAAAATAATATATTCATACACGAATGCGATGCGCTTTGCTTGGTACATTCAACCGACACACTCAACTCTCCACTTCACTCCTCTAAACTCAACTCAACCACATTATTAAATTATTCTTCCTTAGAGAAATGTCTATAGAAATTGAATAAAATTTCTCCGCGGTTTTACGTTGTGCGATCACAACCAATTCAATTCTCGGCTCAAACTCAACTGACTCATATTATTCGCATGGTTTTTCTCTTTTCCTTTTTTTTTTCTTCTTTATGTTGCTAGCGGCTAGCCGCTACTCTTCCAAAAAAAGGAAATGTACCGCAAAATCATGCGATTTTGCATAACGGGATGCCGTTATTGCAATCTTTTCGGCTGACACGGACCGACCGACACCCTAAATCTGTTCGCGGACGTTACACGTGGTCATCATTTTCTAGAAAATTCGGCAATCAAAAAATTTTTCCATTGCGGATATCAAGAACACACCGCCCCATAAGCAGGTATTCTGCATTATTTACATACATTATTTATTTAAGATACATTTTATATTATTAATTTATGTAAGTAATTGATATTTTAAATTATTGTATTACATCACTCTTTTGATAAGCGGGTAAGTTTATTGTTATTATTATATAAGTTAAGTTAAACAATTATGCTAGCTTACAGGGGAGCCAGCCATTTAAAACAATTGGCAACACGCCAATTATGGAACCTTAAGGTGGTGTGGAAAACTGTAAGATAAAATTTTATGGTATATGGAAAGTAGGTTTAGTGTCCAATATTTTGTGCCTGTATGGGTGAGTGGTATTATACTTAATTTTACATATTATAAATTTAAACTGTTGTCCCTTTATTAGGTCGATTTGGCAACCGGCAGATTATTTTTTAGGTGCGCTGGTTTTTTCTAAAGCTTTAAATCTCACTTCACTCATACCTCCATATGGGAAGTACAGTAAAGGTACCGAGGTAGCTTCGATGAGACTCGGAGAACGCCTTGTTCCCATTCCACGAATGAAATTTGTGTTTAAACGGTTCGAATTACTGCGCTGGAAAGCCTATATTACTTCATTGGCAGAATTTTAATATAATTGCTGCACAAGTCCGTCACACAAACGTTGATGTATAAGCTGTCGTCGGACAATTAAGTCACTACGTAAATCATTTAAACTTATTTTCCATTAGAACCCTTATATATAATTTTCACAATGAAGTTTGAAGTTAAACTTTTTTATCATATGAAAATTTGTTTTCACAGAAGCGGTTATTTAGCACGAGGTTAAAGAAATAAAAATGCTTTGAATAATCTCTTTTCTTGTTAGTCAGCTGTTCTCTTCCGAGCGAATACATCTGCATACGCAAATCGTACAAAACTTTTGAAGCTCGATACCAACACTATCAACAAATTCCTTGTGCTTTTCTGTACATATTTGAAAGTTGTGCGTGCGGACGGTTTCATTTTTATGTACACCAACCTCGAACGCTTTATTCAAAAATAATTTTTTTTTTTTCAATAGAATTGTGCTGACTCATTGACTATGTCTGGTACGAAGTTTTCATCTTTTTGCTGCGGCGACTAACGTCTTGCTCATCACCATCCGAGTCATCACAATTAATTAGTTGATGGTAACTGCTGGCATCAATCTCGCTTCCATTTTTAGCAGATTCCAAAAGGCGTACCTCCTCTTCCAAAATAGCAATTTGATGTCTAAGATCATTCACGTCTTTTTGATTAGCCTGAATTTTTCGTCTCATATTTTGTATGCAATCGGTAGTTTTCTTTAAAATCTGAGCTCGACTCGCCTTTTTTCCTTTTAGTGATGGCACTGCTTCTCGCAAATTAGTGAAGCTTTCTTTGATGTGATCACGTCTTTTGCGTTCCAATGCATTATGGCTCGCTTTTCTTCTTGTGTGAAATTTTGTGTACTACTCCTTCGTTGATTAAATCGATCATTGAAGCTCGTAATCTCTTCAAATATAAACTCAAATTGTCACGCAATAATTCCAAACTGGATACATTACGATTTTTATGTAAAAACTCATCAACCGAAAAGTTCGCCTATAAAATAGATGGAAATCAAAAATACACTGAGAAATATGAAAAATTGCAGACATTGATCACCTTTAAAAATTCATTTTTATCAAAACAAAGTGATTCTCAAGACTATTCCGTCGAATGTTTTCAGTTAGTACGCAACGCGTTTAAAAGTAAATGCATTAAAAGTTTGAGGTTTTTGTTTGGTTCTACTACATATACACCGAAAGAAGCATACCCAATACACATACCAACAGAGGCAATTTCAAGTAACCACTCTCATGAACAAAATGCCATGGCTATCGGAAATTTAAACCAAACGTTACTGTAGGTAGGCTCGTATAACAAACCAACATTATTATTATTATTGTTTGTTTTTATAGTTCGTTGCTAACTCATCCGGATCTTTATACAATCTTTTCGTCTAACCTAAATCCTACTAATATATATTTAGAACTGGAAATTTCGAAACAAATAATAGATTTAAAGACGATCTCAAATGCGAAGGTTGATATGATTCCTAAGGAGTTTTGTACTTTGCCTCCAAGCTGTAAAGATGTACAGATTCATTTATTACATAAAGGCAATACAAGTTTGACGAGTTTACACTGCTGCAAAGATTTACAAGTATATAAGCATTTCATGGATTTACAACAACGCGATTACGACAACGCGGCTATTGAGGCCGATAGCAATTCTAATACATGCAAAAATATCTTATATAAAACAAATGAATGGTGGGAAACAGACATTTATATAAGAGGATTCAAAGAACAAGGTTAAAAATGTTTAAATATGTGGTCATAAGAAACTCTTTACTAAATTTAAGATGTTGGCTATTTACAATATCCAGAAATATTTCTAGAAATAGATAAACATGAACCGAAATTTTTTACGATTTGTTTTACTGACGCATGTGCCGCACTCGTTCTTCTGCTGCTTTTCCTTTTTGCTTTCATTTACCAATTTCCTTAAACGTTCTTCCCCTTTAAAAATGAACTTTAGAGAAATTATTGGATTTCGTGCACTTACACGAAATTGTTTAAAGTAGAATAAATGTAGACAAGCAAGAAAATTATATTCTTCATTAATGTGGGCATGGTGCCTTTTTCTCATTACATGTATATGGAAAATGAGAGAGAATATTCATCGTTGTTGTATTTGTAGTGATTAATGAGAAGAAAATTCAATTTAAAAAAGTAAAAGGAAACAATTTATACAAAACGTGTGACGATTTTTTATTTACATATATTTAATATTATGAAAGACTTGAATTTGTATAGGATTGAAATGCGTAAAATTATAAAAAGATTCATAGATTTTTCAGAGCACTTACAGCTATAGAACAGATTCTTGAAATCCCACTGTTGTCGCTCAAACATTTTGCACACTTGCAATATATGCCCTGCAAGTATCGAATCATTATTACGCAAGACAATCGCCCGCAATGCGTGTTATATTTTACACGATGTACGACATATCAGAGATTAGAGCAAACGATTTAACATAGCCACGCGATAGGCATGTCTGCATTAATATATTAATTATATACTATTAATCTGAAATTAAATTGAAATAAATAATAAAGTTATAAATGACAATCAGTAAAGAGAAATGCAAACTTACCATTGGAATGCAACGAATATTGTTGTTCAAGCATTTTGCACACAGGAGGGTGGCGATGGCGCGCGGAGGAACTTACGACCACGTGATGTTGGTGTCCATTTTTTCCCTGAAATTTGTTCCGTTCAGTAATATTATCAGCACGAACCCGAGCAAATTTCTCCGGTGTGCCTCACTTCTGCTGCATAACCCTGGTCTTCGGAAAAAGGGAATTTGTCTCACTATTGTTGCTTGTAGACGCATCTCTATATTCTTTGCGGTCATGCACTGTCTCATGGTCGCGTAGAAGATTTCGTACCCTCTTCGAAAAGCTCCATGGGCATCTTCTGTTGGAAAGGCTGGTTTTAGATATTTTGAGGTTCATATTAAGCTATTCAGCTTATTTCTGGAAACCTTGCGACCTTGTTTCAAATAGCAGAAGGCGTCTTGGTTGAGCGTGAAGTCTTGTAAACATTCCTCGCATTGTAGCTGCTCACGAATGTAGCGTGCTATACCACATCCTGTGAGCAGCCTCGGGAAATCTTCGAGATTTCGGCTCAACGGCTG